CAAACGAACCACTCTCTGTGAACGAATCTTTCGCCATGAACCATTAACGCCAGTTCCACAAAAAGCATTACTCTGACACATTAATGCCTTCTGTCTTGAGCAACAATTTTGTGTGTAGATTCGTTTCATTTGTCACGTGACAGAAAGCTCGGGTCTTTTTTGCTGTCATTCATCACATGTGGTGTGTTTTTATTTCTTAGCTTTTCACATGGTTTCAAAGTGTGAAGAGGAGGAGGAGGAGGAAGAAAGTTGAAAAACAGTTTTGGCCAGGAGAATACTGGGTCATGTCTGAGGCCTAGCCACATGGATCACTAGCGGCGGAGCGCGGCGGCCATCTGTTATCACCAGAAGTCTCTCATTTTGTGGCCAACTCCGCCGCGGCCTGATGTACGGCGCGGCCCTGATCGGCGCACGGAGGAACAAAGTCAGACTTGTTTGCACTTTAATCTGTGGAAAAGTGAATGAAAGGGAGCGTTCCTCCCATCCTGCCAGTCCCAGCACAAAGTGAAGGTCAACGCTCCGTCATGTGGTCTCAGCTGGGAGTCTTTGTTGTTTGTATTTCACCTGTCAGGCTCTACAGATTTATCTGTTTAATTTTATTTTTTTAAGTTGTTTTTCACAGATTTTATCTCCAAAAAGCTGCGTCGATGCCTGTGTTTGTTCAAACAGACAAATGAAATATTTCTTTCCTGTTGCGATCGTTCACGGAGGCTGAGGCAGCGCCGACTCAGCAGAAGTTTTAGGATAAGCAGATGTGAACTGAGCTGATTTTAGCTGTGTGTGTCTGTGTGTGTGTGTGTGTGTGTGTGTTGGCTCACACCTGCAGTGGTTTTAGGAACATACTGACAAACTGCTCCACTGACAGTAAATTCACAGCTGCTTCTGTTTCTCAGGTTGTTTGTTCAAACCTCCTCCATGACATGGAGTCTCGGGGTAGTTAATACCAGATGGGGGCGGGGGGGAAGGGGGGGGGGCCGGAGGGGCTCATGAACCCATAACCCCAGGTTCCCAAAAAACAATAATC